GGACAGTTATCAGCAAGGAGCTTGAAAGCGGTTCATCTAAGGCCAATCATTTTCAGCGTGTTATATATGGAGGCACAGAGCGCTTGAAACGCTCTTCACAATAAAGCTAACATATAGCAATGGTCGAAGAACTGATGGTGATTTCCTATTAGATAGCCTAGTCTGTTCTTTCTATGATTACTGATTATTGTTGCACTCTGCCGTTAGCGCATAGTGGAGTTTAAACATCCAGAAAGTACGAAAAAAGTTCAAATCGTCTCTCCAATATATCTCCATCATATCCCATTATAGAAGAGGAAGGCTGCAAAAGCTAAGCCAGATTGTAGTTCGGTTAATTTGCACACCAGTTACGGAACAGACGTAGGAGATGTTGGCACACCTACTAGTCAACTTCCTCGCGAAATGCTTGCATGTGTCATGTAAGAAATGCTAGGATGTGCTATGACGAGTTGGCTAACTCAGATGCAATAAACCACAAAAATGCTTCATATATGTTATGAGGTGTAGTAAAGTGAGACCAAGTAACCCACTTCTTCAAAGAGAATAATCAGAACACTAAACTATCAGATAATTAGTAACGTAAATTTGGTTTCCCCACGTGCCGATTCCCTATACTCAGCTGACCGTATAAGCGTTGTTTCGGTATCCGTGTCGAATCCATACGGCTCACATGAAAGATCCACCTGAGGTGTCGCAATAAAAGTATGAAGTCCATTGCATACATCCCACTTCGGCGCAACACTTCCATATCTGCAACCCACGCGCCCCAACCGATGCGCAAAACTCGTCGCAGGCACTGCTGATGGAACCGCTCGAGATATCGCACATCCCGCCGGTACATCGTCCACGTTTCACTGCCGTATAGAAGAATGGACAGTACCATGAATTTGTACACCATCAGCTTTGTGCCAATGCTAAGCTGGTGGGTGTTCCACACTCGGTACTCAAGCTTCCCGAATGCCGCGGCTGCCTTCGACACGTGAATACGCAACTCGCTGTGTAGCTACTGATCAGTCGACATCACACTCCCAAGGTAGCAAAAGCGGGAGGTGGTTTCCAATACTTCAGCACCAATACTGATTCGCGGCAATATTGAAGGTTGCAACTGCGGTGAAGGCTGAAAGGGACAGACAGTTTTGCTTGTGTTGATGGTGAGCCCGAATTTGGCCGCTGTCAAAACCAGAGCACTAGTCATGTGCTGGAACCCAACTGCGCTGTGTGCAAACAACGCACAGTCGTCAGCAAACAGCAACATACGGATAGTTGTCTCACAGACTAGAGTCCTCGCACCGAAACGACGGATGTTCAGCAACCCATCATCAATACGATGCTCCACACCAACACCGGAAGCACAAGCTGCATCAAAAGCACAGGACAACAGTGCATGAAGATATATATTAAACAGGACAGGAGCTAAGACACAGCCTTGCTTCACACCAGAGATAACTGCAAGGTCATCTGAGGTCTCTCTACTCAGCTGCACCCTCGCTCGCATACCACTGTGCAGACATTCAATTAAACTTACAAATTTACGCGGGCAACCAAACTTACACAAAACCAGCCACAATGCCTCGCGGTTCACCGTTTCAAATGCGTTGATGAATGCAACAAAATGCGAGTACCATGGCTGGTGTCCTTCTCTGCACTTCTCCTGCAACTGACAAACCGCAAACATCATATCTATAGTGCTGCGACCCGAACGGAATCCACATTGCTCTTCCAACACGTTAGGTTCCACAACCTGACTGACGAGGCGGTTGAGCAAGATTCGGGCAATCACCTTGCCCACACAACTCAACAAGTTGATGCCACGATAATTCGTGCAACATTGCTTGCTCCCTTTGCTCTTTTACAGTGGTAGCACAAGGTCATCCTTCAGCTCAGGAGGCACCTCCTCCTCAATCCATACCCGTTGCACCAAGTGGTGCGGCGCAGTCAACAACACGGGTCCGCCGTATTTCAATACTTCAGGCGGGATCCCATCGACTCTGGCACACTTGCCGTTTCGCAGCTGAGCAAGTGCTCTCTGCGTCTCATCCAGTGTCGGCGTGTCCGCCAGATTCTCCTTCACATCGTGCTGCTTGAGGCCGTTCAATGTAGGCCAGTCGATCTCTGAACAGTTGTTCAAGAGACAGTCAAAGTGTTTTCGTCAGATCTGCATTATGTCTGCAGTCTGTGTGCAGGTAGCGCCTGAACTACCATCGATCAGCGTCCTCAGCGGTTCCAATCTCGGTCCATACACCACCTTCAAGGAGTCAAGGAATTCCTTGTGTTTGCGGCGTTCAGCGTAGTATTCCATCTGCTTCGCCTTCTCCGTCCACCATGCATTTTTAACGCGACGGATCTCTCGGGTCAGTCGCTGTCGAAGTTTGCGAAATTGACTACTCGTCCCCAAGTCATTGGGGTCTGCTACATGTGCAACAAATGCTGCATGCTTCTCCGACACAAATGCGCCGATCGTCGCATTGTTCTCATCAAACCAATCAGGCCGTTTACAGTTTGCGCGCCCGATGGTCTCCTCAGCAGCAGCTGTCACCTGATCGCCAATGTGGTGCCTCAGCTCGCCCACTGTGCCTATGCATTCCACATCACACAGGCGTGCAGCCATCGCCTTCTCCAGCTCAGTATGTTTCGCCACAGTATTGAGGGAGAGAATGTTAAATTTATGCCGATTCAAGGCGGGAGTGCGATACATAGATTTACGAAAATATATGTACAGTTTGGTCCGAACCAATTTGTGATCAGTGCCACACTCAGCTCCACGCAGTACACGTGTCATGCGAGCTTCGTGACGTACGATGACATAGTCGAGCAGGTGAGTGTGACCACTCCGTGGGTGCGTCCAAGTTGCTATATCACTCGCACTCAGTGCAAACCGAGTGTTCGTGATCGTCAAGCCGTGAGTGGCCCACAGTGAGAGCAGCCTGTCACCATTCGCATTCGCTGAACCAATGCCATGCGAACCGATAACATCTGTCCACACCGATGCATCAGGCCCACTGCGCGCGTTGAAATCACCCAGCAGAAATAGTCGGTCGCTCCTCGGCACAGACCGTATCACGGAGGGTAGCTCAGTGTAGAATTAATCACGCGTGTCATCAGGATAACACATGGTCGGACCGTTCGTGCTTATAAAAGTAGCAAACTTACCTCTTCCGAGTCGTAGGCGAACGGTCATTAGACGCGCGCCGATGCCTGTTGGTTCACCCACCAGCTGGCCTTGGAGGCGATCGGATATTGCAAATCCGAACCCATGTTCACGTGGTGCTGAGGCGGTGTTGCCCACCCAGTAGAATGTGTAACGAGCACCTGCTTCATACAAGTTTCCTTGCTCAGCGAGCTGGGTTTCACTGAGCGCCGCAATATCGATGTTGTAGCGCGCCAGCTCCATCGCGACCAGTGCAATGCGTCGCTCCGGGCGCCCGCTTGAGTTCCGGTCCAGTAGTGTGCGCACGTTCCAGCACCCGATGCTGAGTGCTTTGCGCGCAGGCATACGATTGCATTGGTGGGCAATCGCACGCGAGGTGCACCTAATCACTCACCCGTTTTCGCGTGGGCGGTGTTTTTTTTCGTTTCTGGTTTGGCTCGGTTGTGCAGCTGTCCGCACAGGTGCCTCCCTTTCCTCGCGTTGTTCGTTTATTGTGTTTGTTTCTCGTTTTGATCGCGCTCGTTGTGTGCTTAGATTTGTTTACCTTCCCTTTTCGTTGTTTTGTGTTTGTTTCTAGTGCCTTCGGAGGGGTTTTTTTTATTTTTATTTGCTTGAGGGGGGGAACCCTCTCCCCAAACGGGAGGTTTGTTTTTTTGGTTTTAGGCTGGTCTCATATTAATAGCCTGACCCAACAAGGCTGTGGGGGGGAGAGCAGGAGAGGCGTGTGGGGGCGGATAGATGAGGGGGAGAGCTGTTTGGTTGGAGGGGGCCGAGAGAGGAGCAGGAGAGTGGCGAGGAGTGGGAGAGGGGAGAAGAGCAGGAGCAGAGAAATCCTTTAGCTCGTTTTTTTCGTTCGACGATCTTCTCTCGCGTCGTAATTTGATTGCTTGTAAACAGACAGCACGATTGGGTTTTTTTAGATTTCTCATCCTCTGATTCATGGTGTGGTTCTCTTTGACTCTCTTCTGTGTGTGATGTTTAAAGGAAAAATGAGAAAGAATCCAATCTGTGTTTGTCCTCAACTTATTCCATTTTTCTATTTCTTTGCTATTTACTTTTTTTGTTCTGTCCTACTTGACGCGGGTATGTGCCCGTCCGATTTCCCCCCCCGCCGTTGCTTCCCGCTCCAGGTTTGTTGGTTTCCTCACCGGCAACGCACAAGGCCCTTAGGTTGTCGGTACTGTGGAAACTTGGTGGGAACGATATTTATATTAATTTTATGTTATTATTTTTGTTGCGACCTTTTAAGTAGAAAGTTTTTGGGAAGGTTACCAATCTGCGACCCACCGCCCGACACCGACGGCCTGGGCCAGATCAGCACCCCCCCCGCGCACGGGGCCAGCCCAGAGGGTGCTCCAGCAGGGTGGGGGTTGACGCCCCAGGCCCCCGCCCGAACCGCCGCCCCCCCCCCCACCCCTCCCCCCGCCCCCCCCGCCCGCAGGGGATTCCCGCACCGCACGGCGAAGAGGTTTCTTTTTTTTGTTCCTCCCACCCGCTCCCGACCACTCTCGAGCCGGCCACAGATGCTGTGGGTCGGTTGGTGGTTGGGTGGTGTTGTGTTTGGTGTTTGGGTTTGTTGTTGGTTTGTTTCGTTTTTTGATGGTTTTTCGTGGTTGTCCAGTTTGCTTGCATGTCCTCTCCCCCCCCCATTCCCACATTAGGGGGGTCCCCCCACAATCATTGTTGGAACTTGGAGAGGACCCGGCCGGGGGGCGGTGAGGATGGCGCGGGCGGCGGTGGTCGCTGGGCCTGGGTTAGTTTGAGGCTAGATGGGTTTGGGTTGGTCTGCACTGCATATCACTACACAATAATGCAAACAAATTAAAGTGGTTTCTAAAGGTGGGGGGGACACATGGGGGCAGGGGGTGGGGAGGGGGGGGGCAAGCAAAACGGGGAAGTATATGCGGATGGGGGGGGTCGGCAGCGGGGGGGGGCGTGTGCGGCGGGCGCCGGCGGGGGGCGTGGGGTTGGGGGGGGAAGGGAGCGAGCAGTGCGACACGCGCTCGGGACCACCCCACCTCCCACGTGCTCCACACAGGGGACTGCTAGTAGTCCATAGG